CTGTCCAGAAGGTGGAGAACAAGGCTTCCTGTTCTCCTTGTATCAGTCTTTGGCGTCGGACCCATGCCCTTGCCCATACCAATGTGGTGAATCAGTCGCTCGTCACAAACAAGACTTCTTTGCTCTATACGTAAGTCTCATACTTTATTCGCATTTTTTCATACTCATGTTACCTTAAGCCCAACTTTGGTGACTACATAGATCGCCTGAAGAACGTTGTCCGTCATACTTGTATTCGATGTGGAAAGAGCTATTGTCTGGCTTGCGGCGAATCCTATTCACAAAGCGAGAAGCCTCGTCCGGGAATATCCCCGGAAGATATCCTTTTCCATTGTGCCAACCTGCAAGGATTGATTGTAGGAATGGGACTTGCTATTGTCCAGGTTCAATATGACCTCCAAACCAATACGTCTACGACAGTTACCTCTCCATCATCACCAGATGAGCCAGAGAAGAAGAAACGCAAAATGAATCCATTGAAGTCGATCGTCCCTGGATTTATGTCAAGTTCGGCAGACGATGATGACTTGTTCGGAGGCAGTAAAAAGTCAAAGGCTGGAATTGGGTATGCCGGAACAATCAAGGAAGACGTGAGTAGCTCTTCTCTCCTTTGAGAGTTTTGTGACACATCTCCATGTAGATGACGGGCCATCTTGAGGCAATGGCTTCTCAGAGTCTCAAAGATAGCAACTTGTCTCAGCTCCTCGCGGATGTCAGACAATACTTGCCATCTGTCAGAAGAGAAGGGGGAGGAAGAGCCAGTGACTTCCTTGTGCATCCAACAACATTGGCACACATCCGAAGACGCTTCAATGTCCTGTGCAGTACCCTTTTGAGAAATGATTCCCTATCAGATATGAGTGACCGATCCTCGCTCTATTCAGAGGTATTTGCATGGCTGGAGACCATTTCGAACCATGAGGCACTGGCATCCATAATGGGTATGCCAATCATGGTTGTAGCAGCCGTGAAAGACGTGGTGGTACGCAAGGGCACAGGCAACTCGGGCTCGACGAAGGAGAGGACTATCGTATACGAGGGTTCGTCTGGACCTCGTGAACTATTGGAAGCGATTGTCGTGCAAGCTGAAGCAGCACAAAAAGGTCTCGAAAGTGTTATCAAAGCTCGTGAAGCGCGTAAAGACCCTGAAGCGATGACGGAAGCGGAAAAGCGAATGTCCTCCCTGAACAAAGGAAAGAAATCATCTTCAAGTGCTGACGACGAAAATGAGAAGCTGTTGGAATTCTGTGATGGCAT